AAAACCAAAGAAATAATATTCAATTAAATTAAATAAGGTACACTTTAACTGTAACAATGGGATGCATACTTCGTCTATGTTGAAATTTATTTCCCTGCCATGCTTGTTTCCCAGACACTTCCAATGTTTACTTACACTAGTAAATATTCTTGTTTATTATTAGTTTTGCTAATTTAAATGGTAAACAACTCTCAGACATTTGACAATTCAGTTAATATGTAACTCGCTTGAATAATAAAAGTAGGGAAATGCAATGCATCGAAAATTCCTATTTGATTCAATTTGATGCATTGAATTGCGATTTGATTCAGTGGTGGGCAAAAAACGATTTGATTCATTAGTATAGAACTACTGTTTTAATTCATTTTAATTATCAAACTTAAATTAAATGACATAACATGAGGTTACTAACCTCATTTTATGTCAATAAATCAATCCTGGAGGCAAATTATGTATAAACTTTAATTAAAATTAAAAGAATTAAAAGGGTACTAATGTTTTTATAATGTTTTCAATTGTTTATATAGTAGTAGCCCTTATCACAATAATAGGCATACACTTATTATATATATATACAGGGTGTTTCACGGGAACCCTGACAAACTTCGGGAAATGGTTCCTGGGGTCAAAACTAGAAAAAAATGTCCTGTAAGCATATGTCCTAAACTCAATCGTTTGCTATTTATACGTAAAAATGTGTTTTTTTAGGTTTTCAGTGTATCTGTTGAACATTTTAACCTCTAGATTAAAAAATCTTCAAGATATTTTAATTAAACTTGCATAGCTAGATAGAATATTAAATTACAAAGAGATTTCATAAATATTATGTGCACACATGTTGGGTATGACTGAGAAAAATGAGTTAAAAAATCAAATTTTCCCGAAAAAATGATAATCCAAAAATATTTTTTATTTTTGACAGCTCTTCATACTTAAACCATTTAGTCGTTTGGCTTGCAACTTTACCAAAAGTTGTAGAATTTAATGGAGAACAATAAAATATCAACTTGTGTATACCTTTTATGGGGATTATCTTTATCAAAATCAAAAATATTGTAAGGTAACACATATTAATTTAATTTGAAGGAATAAACAAAAATGTATATTTAGCTTATTTATAAACATACCTCACTAAAAATTCGTATATTGGTTTTCCTAGTTGAGAAGGTTCGTATAAAGGCCTAAAATCCTCCATCCTTTTCATTTTTTATGGTGTAAAACAAGCATACTCACTCACTTTTCTATGTTAACCTTATAGGGAAAAATAAAATATGACAACTTGCAAATTTCTGAACATATCTTATTAAAACTTGGCTTATGACTTATTTTGATTGAGGACTTTAGGATTAATGCCAAAAATTCCAGTTTTATATTCATTTTGCACAAAAATAGCACAATCCTATCCTTTACGGGAAATAATTAGTCTTTTCAACTATTAGTCCTAATGGACGTTTTGACCTTTTAAATTTAAAAATGTAAATGCTATTTTAAAAATAAGTTCTTCATAGTTAGTATAGGTTGACGTGAAAACATTTTATGGAAGAAAGTAAAATATTTTACAACTCAATCAATTTCAACAAATCTAGGAAGTGCACTAACTTGGACGCATTATTATAAACATTTAAAATCCTAACATTTACCAACTGAAGCTCATTGGGTTTCAGGAGGGATCGGATTATAAGGGTTCAGGTATTTGAAAAATCGATATTTGTTGTTATTATTTCGTAATTGATTACATTTTTTAGTGTGCAACTAAAAATAGCTTTGAATTAAATAGAATATTGGTAAACCTGTAAATGCAGTTAATAAATCATCTGTTTTGCTCGGTCAGCTGATGCAATTTTTATTGTTGCATACTTTGTTTACATTGAATTTCCAGTCCATTGTTATTGGCAGTGAATATCATGTACACTAACAGTGAATATGCAGATATGGTATTTATTTATGGATTTTGTGATGGAAATTCAAGATCATCCGTTCAAGAATACGCTAGAAGATTTCCCAATAGGCGTACGCCTAATAGGCAAGTATTTACAGATCTATTTAATCGACTAAGGGAGACAGGATGTGTTAGAAAAGTTGTCCCTGACGGTGTAGTTCAAACTCCTGTAGAGGTTGAAAATGACATCTTACACTCTGTTCAGCAAAGCCCAGGAACAAGCGTAAGAAAGCTTTCACGACAGCACCTGGTGTCTATTTCTAAAACCTGGAGAATTTTACATAATGAAGGATTATATCCTTATCACTTAAGAAAGGTTCAGGCGCTTCACGCTGGTGATACCCTAAGAAGGTCTCAGTTTTGTCGCTGGGTAGCAGGAAATCGTCACCAAATTAAGTTCATACTCTTTACTGATGAAGCTCAATTTACTCGGAATGGAATAAACAACTCAAAAAATGTCCACATATGGGCCGAAGACAATCCACATGCCACAGTGGAGACAAACTTTCAACAGAGGTTTTCGGTGAATGTTTGGTGCGGTCTTTTAAATGACAAACTTGTAGGACCTCACATCTTAGATGGTGCTCAAAACGGTGTAAGTTATCTACATTTCCTAAACAACACTTTGCCGGAACTGCTCGAAGATGTTCCCATCCAGTCAATGGCAAGGATGTTTTATCAACATGACGGTGCTCCCCCACACAGGAGTCGAGCTGTAGTTGAAACGCTGAGAAACCGTTTCGAGGAAAAACTTATTGCTCATCAAGGACCAGTGAATTGGCCCCCTAGGTCGCCCGACCTGACTCCGATGGATTACTTCCTATGGGGATACATGAAAACAGAAGTTTACAGAAGCAAGCCTCAAACAAGAGAAGAGCTGGTAGAGAAGATTCACACCGTAGCAGAAACAATAAAAAGTAATCCTATCATGATAAGAGCAGCTACATCATCTCTGGTTAAACGTGCTAGACTGTGTCTGTCTAAAAATGGAGGCCATTTTGAAAACCTCATCAGTTAAAAAAACTTTACTTCAAGCCTTCATAGTTTATATTGGCAAAAAAAGAATGATGTTTCCCTAGTTACTGTTTTTCTTCTTTAATTTGCAGTAATTTAAAGCTTATTAAAATTATTATGATACATTATTATATTAATATTAATTAAAAACATACCACAACATGTAAAACTTGGGTATACTAGGTTATAATTATTTAGTTCCAATTAAACTATGTCAAATAAAAAGTTTTAATTAAATATGTACTTAGAAATATGAGAGCTATTTTATTTTATTTTTCCTCATAATGTTAACATAGAAAAGTGAGTGAGTATGCTTTTTTTACACCATAAAAAATGAAAAGGATGGAGGATTTTAGGCCTTTATACGAACCTTCTCAACTAGGAAAACCAATATACGAATTTTTAGTGAGGTATGTTTATAAATAAGCTAAATATACATTTTTGTTTATTCCTTCAAATTAAATTAATATGTGTTACCTTACAATATTTTTGATTTTGATAAAGATAATCCCCATAAAAGGTATACACAAGTTGATATTTTATTGTTCTCCATTAAATTCTACAACTTTTGGTAAAGTTGCAAGCCAAACGACTAAATGGTTTAAATATGAAGAGCTGTCAAAAATAAAAAAAATTTTTGGATCCTTATTTTTTCGGGAAAATTTGATTTTTTAACTCATTTTTCTCAGTCATACCCAACATGTGTGCACATAATATTTATGAAATATCTTTGTAATTTAATATTCTATCTAGCTATGCAAGTTTAATTAAAATATCTTGTAGATTTTTCAATCTAGAGGTTAAAATGTTCAACAGATACACTGAAAACCTAAAAAAAACACATTTCTACGTATAACTAGAAAACGAGTGAGTTTAGGACATATGCTTATAGGACTTTTTTTACCAGTTTTGACCCCAGGAATCATTTCCTGAAGTTTGTCAGGGTTCCCGTGAAACACCCTGTATACTAGTGTCCCTGTTGCTCGAATTCGAGCAATTGCTAAGTAAATATTTGTAGCAAACTGTTATAATACTATATTAGCAAACTTATTGACTGTTTAGGATTAACCTATGCTCTTCTTCTCACTTTTGATTTCTGACAACAGCTGGAGTTTCATAGCAATTTTTGTTTCTAATGTTAATCTTATGGAGAAATACGAAACTTTAAAGGGCTCCAGGGCCTCACTCTCTCATTATTTCCCTAAAAAAAAAGTTTCCTGCACAACTTCACCCTACGCTCTTTCCAATGACACCAAAAACATGACAATCGGTTCAGTAGTTTCGGAGGAGTAATTGTCACAAAAATCCTGCTTGCGTATTAAATAAGTATAGATATATATATATATATATTAAATATTTAAGTAAATAAGTACAACTGAGCACCCTGAATATTATATTTTATAAAAAGAAGTGACATGTTTCGGACATTAGTCCATTTTCAAACTTCAAAATACATTAAACACTTCTGTTTTAATTCATTTTAATTATCAAACTTAAATTAAATGACATAACATGAGGTTACTAACCTCATTTTATGTCAATAAATCAATCCTGGAGGCAAATTATGTATAAACTTTAATTAGAATTTATAATCACAAACATAAATTTTATTTATTTTACCATTAAGCGAGGTTAGCCAAGATAGAGGAGACCCTCTCCGCCTAGGCTGATGTGCAAGTCCAAGGCACTCCTCACGGGCCCTGAGTAACAAACCCAGAAACACAGTAGTAACAGTCTCTGTTCATTCCAAAATATTCACTTTTTTCACAGATTTACAAATTTCACTGCTTTATTAAGTTCCAAAATCACACGGATATATTATGTGTATATATATATATACATACAGTATATGTAAGAAATGCTAATGTATGTGATGAAACTTGTTTTTAATGTTTCTTATCCTCAACAAAAAAATACAAAAACAATAAATAAAGAAAACTTGTAAATTAGGGAACATTTAAAAACTTAACAACAGTAATTTTAGTGGAAATTTTTAATGAGAAGTGATAAAATAGCGGATTGTCTGAAGTAATCGTGGACTTTGCAGGTGTCGGCGTTCAGCACTTGGGAGAAGGAGCTTCACAAGATAGTATTCGACCCCCGCTACCTGTTACTGACGTCCAAGGAGCGCAAGCAGGTGTTTGACAAGTACGTGAAGGAGCGAGCCGAGGAGGAGCGGAGAGAGAAGCGCAATAAGCTCAAGGAACGTAAGGACGAATACAGAAAGTTGATGGAGGAAGCCAACTTGCATGGAAAGTGAGTAAAACAAGTCATTCATTCTGATTTAGTCTTCTTAAATGAGTAGTTTTTGAATACTGCCTAATTGTAAAGACATTTTTGAAGGAGATGAAAAATATTGCCTAACTGTCAGTGTGGACTTTTCAGAGTCAAACCTGTCATATTATGATAATGAGGGATGGTTGAACCATGCCCTCGCACCTGCACCCAGACTAACGAAATGGAAGTGTGATCCATGCGCAGGCCCGAGGAGCGGCTCACAAAACTTTACTTGACAAATGAGAACCATGGATGGAGGTTCAAAAACAACACGCCAATTGAGAGAAACGAGCTGTAATTGACTATTTAAATAAACAACAACAACAAAACATCAACAATAATACATGAAACTCTCAAATAGACTTTAAATAATTTAGTTACCAATCTGGCCTACTGACTTGGAGTCATTTCTTTATCATCAAAATATCAGAAGGATTATTAAAAATTTAACCTTTAATAAAAATTGACCAAAATTAACAATTATAACAATAGATAAATATATTACTTCTTAATATGCATTTTGAACTTGGTAACTATAGAAAATTTAGGGGCCCCAAGAATAGAATGAATTAAAAATTATTTACAAATTAACAAGGCTTTTCCAATAAAATTTGAGAAAACAATAACAGGAATATAGGCCTAGGCTGGTTTGATATAAAAAATTTAAAAGGCAATAACAAGTAATAAAAATCCTTTGAATAACTAAATAAATAAATCTACATATATATAAACAGGTAACACAGGTTTAACAGGTTTAACACTTGCGGTAAGTTGACGGTCACATTCAGTTCTGGGCGGACAGCACCGGAGGAGGGACGAAGCAGGACGGAGAGGCGGCCATTAAGCGAGGTTAGCCAAGATAGAGGAGACCCTCTCCGCCTAGGCTGATGTGCAAGTCCAAGGCACTCCTCACGGGCCCTGAGTAACAAACCCAGAAACACAGTAGTAACAGTCTCTGTTCATTCCAAAATATTCACTTTTTTCACAGATTTACAAATTTCACTGCTTTATTAATTTCCAAAATCACACGGATTAGGCCTAACATATCATTTTCAAAAGTTTCTAAATTTTTAAAAGGTTTGTCTCTCTATCACAGCTCTTTAACAATATAAAACATTTTAAACAGTAACAATAATTTAAACAAAACAATTAACAGGCGAAACAGTACAAGATCGGTAACATTAAATAATTGCGGTAAAAGTGCCAGCAGGCCAGATAGGTATGTGACAGTGATGAATTTCACCAATAGAGAGAAAAAATGTAAATTGCCTGGTCCAAAGTGGCCAGAGGAACAAGTTAACAATAAACAAGTGACACTTAAACACAGAAAAATACTTTAAAATTGACAAAAAACGTTCCATACAAAAAATTTAGGCCTAACACTACGACTCGTGTATTTTTGCTAATTTCTCCAAAAGTTGTGTTCAGAATTTGTACAGAATGGTCTTAAAAGCTGGGGGAAATGTTCCAGCAACTTTTCCAGACCATTCCAAACCTTAACTCAAAGGCTGAAACCAGTGGGTTTCCAGGTTACCCAGTTCAGACCTGAAAGGAGAATTGCCAAACTAAAAATTACTGTATCTTTCTTAAAACTTGATTAAAATGACTCAAACTTTCTGGGGAGCTTTAAGAGCAGTTAATTCAACTTAATTTAACTAGTTTGGCAAGAACAAAGCAAAAAGAAAGACTTTAACAATACTTGACTGGGTAACACAAACTAAACATTTTACAAGACAAAACAACACTAAAAATTTTACGGGACACAGAGCAAAAGGACTACCAGAAGAAGTAGTCTAAGACAATTACATTAACAAAAAATGACAATTACATTTCAATTACATTAACAATTACATTTAATGAGCAAAATTGTAGGCCTAGGCCTACCACAAAACAGTCAGAAGGACAAAAAAAACTGACTTGGCAGTTTCTCCCAAATAGCGGCATTCCAACAAACATCTCTCAGTCAAATTCTAGGCCTAGCATTTCGGTCAATGCCCTGAATTATACCAAAACAACAGAGAAAAGGGAAACTAGCTACCAAACATTCTCCACGGCCCCGAGACTAGGTTCCAAACCTAGTGCAACATGTGTCTAACCTAGTTTTTAGAAAAAATGTGAAAAACTCACCCAAAAGATGGTCGACATTAATATCCTCTTGAAGAAATGAAAGTAAAACACCATGTAAAACATGCCACAAAAATGGAGATGTTGAAGGATAACAAAATATGCCGAGCAAAGTCGGGAACAGCCACAGAACCTATAACTGACACTTGGCGGTGGGAGTAATAAGAACAAAACCCACAGCCTTGTTCGGGGTCGTGGGATGTCTCAAAACGACACACTAAACTAGCCTACTATACAAAAAACACTTTGACCATTGAATATGAGTCGTGACATTCGCCCGTGGAATTAGTCACGGCTCATGGTTTAAAGGTTTTTTATCTAGTTAATAAAACTCAATAATTTGCTCCATCCCAATATGAATTTTTTTAGTAGACCTACTTAATTTCACCTTAGTTTTCAAATATATTAATTTTAAATTCTGGACTAGCAGAAACAAATTAATAAACTGAGAATTTTGAATACTAATTAATATTTTGATTTTCAGGTCTTCTTTTGGAGACTTTGCTCAAAAATTTGGCAAAGACGAGCGTTTCAAAAATATAGAGAAAATGAGGGAAAGAGAAAGCCTTTTCAACGAATACCTACTTGAAGTGCGAAAGAGAGAAAAGGAAGAGAAGAACATGCGTAGAGAACAGGTGAGCACTTGCTTGTACAATTATCTCAACGTCCGTAAATTTTAAAAAAGTTTATTTTAGAATTAAGAACCTTTAAATTGCATTGTATCACTGTTAGAAATAGATAATGGTGGATAAAATCAGTCCTATGCTGATGCATTTTCTTTCCGGTGTACTACGTAAATTATATTTTATTCACTAGAAACAATTATTAGACTTCATATTCATCAGTTCTCGTTCAGTTCCAACTTAAAAAGCTTAAGTTTTGGGTTCTTTGGAACAATGTCAATTGTGATTACTTAAATGGCTTATATTCATCATCATAATATGTACTAATTTTATTAGGCTACCTTTTTTGGTCAAGCTTGCAATGAAACTTCATAAATCTGGAGTAATCAGTGATCAGCTCTATTAAGATCCCTGAAAGTTTGTTTTACCAGTGGCCTGATAAAACTCTTTTACTACCTCAACATTGCTCTGAAAGTAATTTTACTTTTACATTTAATAAAAAAAATTAGTGATGGGCCGATTCCTGAATTGGTCGATTCTGATACCGATTCCGATTCTACAACTTTGGTTTCGATTCTCGATTCCACACTCGATACCGATACCTGTTAAAAATTCATTTAACACATTCACTGCTAATGATATGTAATACTTTTATAAATGGCTAAAAAACATAAACATTAACATGATCATGTTAATTGAGTGACAATATATCTTTAATTAAATAAATTTTATACTATAAATTGTGGATTAAAATATATTATGTAATTAAATACACCATGTATTATATATCTGCTAATATACTTATGACGCACAAGTGCGTCATTAGCAGTGAACGTGTTAATAACACATATACTGTAACTTATTTGTGCTTCTCGCTATCCCTATAAATAAAGGAGCATGTTATTTTTATTTATTCTTTATACAATAAGATAACTGCAATGCTATAGATTAAGGTTACATAGATTATTTAGGTTAGTCTATAAGGAAAATAAGATACTTCAAGAAGACATACATTTAACATATTTTATTAAATTAAATTGAGGCAACAATCAACGGTTTAGGTAGGCCTAAAATGTACACTGAGTTTTTTGTTTGCATAAGAATTTGTACATCTAAACCTGCAATGAATGTTCCATATTGCTTGAGTTATAGACTCGAAGTCAATATCAAAGTTATCATCAATACCACTTAAACTTACTTAAAGAGTCACATAAGGGAAGAGGTTGGTACGACTTTGAAGCCATGATTTGCAATTTTACATTAAAATACAACATTGCACAATCATGATTTTTTAGGTCATTGACCTTTATATGATGTTGAAAACATCATTATTATTCAACATCATTATATATTGATGTCGAAAACAATTATTTTGTAAACCTTTAAAACATTAGATAACTCATAAAGAAGTATAAAATCATACATCATTGTAATAACGGCACTCCTAAAAAGGGAATGTCATTATTCCTTCTCTTTGTTCTTCCATGCTTTCTTGGGGTTCCCTTCACCCACGCATTCAACAAATTGCCATGGTTACTAATCACCCCATTAGAGACTAACTAAGCATTATGTGTTATCACTTATCAGCGATCTTTTATCATCACTGATAACAACAGCATTTTTGTGAGTTTTATGGGAATAGGATTTGAAATAGGAAACTAGTGATGGTTAAAACCAGAAATTTTTGAATCTCAAAACCAAAATTGAAACTTTAAAAAATTGAATCCCGAATCTCAAATCTCAAAACCTTATCGCGAAACTTTTTTACTTAGCTAGTTACAAAGGTCAAGGTTACAAAAAAATACACATAATCATAAAATGTTAAGTATGCAATCAAAACTGAAAGAGATTGACTTCTGACCGTGACATAACATAAATATGTGAATGTGACTGATAATCTTAAAACCCAATACAACATAGTTTTTCATAAACAAACAAAAAAAATTTAACTATCTAACACCAACATAAACACGAATATTAGATTAATTAGAACATTTGGTCAATATATCTTTGTGTTTAGTAAATATTGATGTGAAACTGAATTGTACCAGTTATAGTACCTATTTAAGATACCTTTTGAAGTTCAGAATAAAATGTACATGTTTCATTACTGTTAATGGTGATGTTTGCTCTGTTTCTACCAGCTTGTTTGGAAACAGCATTGAAAACAATAACAATGGCACAAAAAAATGTCAGCAGTTCAAAAAATAAAACTGCCAAAATCTTCAATTTCGAAACTTTTGAACCTCGAAATTTGGTGATCGAATCTCGAAACCGAAACTTTTCCTAAGTTTTGATGGTTTTGACTGTTTTGAGATTTGAGATTCGGTTTTGACACATCATCAATAGGAACATTTGATCTTTACATAATGTTGTATAACATATTTAGACATTCGCCAAAACTTTTAGAAACAAAATTCAACCATACAACTTGATTTGATAAACTTTTATGGCTTATAAATCAGATAAGTAGTGGAAACCTCCATTTTGGTTTGAATTAATTAAAATTTTTGGATACGATAATATTTACCAAAATTTCCAAGCTAAATTATTAACCGGCTTAAAATAAGCAGTGCTACAGACAAATCCAAAGCAGCATGGAATATTGTAAAAACAAAGCTTGGCAACATTGTAAAATGTCAGAATTTTCCAAACTTGTTGGTTAACAACAAGGAAGTGACATCAGGGTCTGAAATTGCTAACGTTTTAAATTATCAATCAATTATCAATTAGTTAAGATGGGGACGCCACTATGTGCGTATTTTAACCCAAATATGAGTGAAGGATGAGTGTAGGATGAGTAGCGCGATCTTGTAGTCTTGTTAGTGACTAAGGCCGACATGTTCCTTAGACACAGCTGTTAATTAATAGCCCATACAGCTAATGGCAACTAAGGGACCTACAGTTTATAGTGGAATCCGAACCACATATTTCCTTGTAATTTACGAATTGGTCTAATTATCAGGATAGTACTGCGGATAGATTAAATTTGTACAATCATCCAATTCATTAAATATTGTGCCTTGTGTTGAAGATGCCCTTGGTTTTCTTGACAGGGTTTTGCCACCTTCTTTGTCAATTTTTTGTTTCAGTGGTGTAACAATTAAAGAAGACAAAGATGTCATTCACTTAATTTATGTTCACCTAAGAAGTAATTTGTGATGGGATGAAATTTCAGTAGACCTCATAAAGGACAATGCAGACATATTTGCCAAACCTATTTGTTGTGAATTAGTCAATCAATCTCTAACTGAGGGAATCTTCTCTGACCAGATGAAATATGCAGTAATAAAACCAATTTAAAATACCCACGCTGCAGCAAACCTGCCGACTTAGCGAATTTCCGTTTGCCTGGATTGATTTTCAATTAACCTATTTAATTAACATTTATGTTTAATGAGTACCTAGGTTAGCTGCTACAGGGAAACTAATAAATTGTGTTTTTTATGAAAATATCAATAGCTTAGTAAATAAATCCGCCAAGTTTTATCAAAATATATCCGTAAACAAGCCAACTACAACATATTATAATATTCTCCATAAGAATAACATGGGAATGTTAAATTAACCTTTTTTTGAATTTTCACCGTAGCTAATCACCGTACAAAAACAGTTTGATATACTAAATTATTTGTTTTTTTAAGCTCTTTAAAAAGCTCTGGAGAAAAATTGATAAATTTTGTGTTTTAAGGGTAAACAATGAGAAAAACCCACTTTTACCCCATAAAAGTTTTCCCCCGTTAAACCCCGTTCCCATGGTCCGATCATGTTGGTTCGCGAACTTATTCAAGTTTATCCCGCCTTACACCTTCAAACCAAATTTTATCAAAATCGGGCACAAATTACTCAAGTTATCGTGCGGATGGACACATATATATATACATATATAAACATTTGAACGAATGGTGTTTTTGGCCTCTGAAGACATCAAAATGAAAAATTAAATCGGTCCCGGGCCTAGGTCTTACCATGAGACCTATGGTAATAGGTAGCTACTTCCCTATAGGGAAATTCGCTAAAAAGGTGAAGTCAATAAAATAATGTGTAAGATAATTATCGACCAGTGTCAAATACTGCAAGTCCAAAACTGGTTGGCTAAGGTTTTTGAAAAAAAATAGTTTGTAAAGAAATTTGAGCAATTTTCTAATTAAATCATATTTTTTCCAGTATTCAATATGGGTTTAGATCTGTTAGGAATACTTCCATAGCAATTACCGAATTGGTAGAGCACATCTTGGAAGCCTTGGATGAATCACAGAGGGTACCTGGTATTTTCTGTGATCTATCCAAGGCAAAGATTGTGTATTGCATGAGATTCAATTAGATTTAAGTAAAAAAAAATATAATTTCTCAAAAACTGCAATTTCTTGGTTTTGTTTATACATAAATAACCGTAGGCAAAGAGTTGTAATTTAAAGAGATTGATTACAATCAGTTTTCAATCAGATTGGCAAAACATTTCAGTTGGTGTTCCCCAAGGTTTAATCAATGGCCCAATATTATTCTTAATTTATATAAATGATCTTGATGGCAACATTAATACAAACCTCATATGCAGATGACACCACTGCCCTGCTTAAGGCTAAAAGTGTACTTGAGCTTAAAAGACTTACTATCATATCAATGCTAAGGAGGAACTTGAAGTATGGTTTCGTACTAATGGGCTAAACCTAATAATTGTGAAAAAACAAATCTGATGAAATTCCAAACAGCACAAAGTAATGACTTCTACACAATTTACAGTTGAATTTTTAAATACTGAAATTACATCTAAAATACAGAATAAATTTGTAGGTTTAACAATTGATCAAAATTTTAACTGGAAAAAATACATAACAATACTTGGCATATAAACTGAACTCTGCTTGTTTCCAAATGCTTGTGTTAAGAGATAGAACTGATTTGGAAACTAGATTAATGGTTTATTTTGCCTATTTTAATTCCGTAATGAAATATAGAATTGAGCTATGGGGTTCATCGGCTAATCGGAGAAAAATATTCAAGTAAAAAAAAATTTGTTTGCATTATGACATTTTTGCTGCACGAGTCTCATGTAAGCCAATCTTAAAACAGTTTTAAATTATTGAGCCTTCCCTCTCTCTATATATATTCATGCTTACTGTTCAATCAGAAGAATTTTAATCTTCTTTGTGGACAGTAGCATTTACATGCATACAACACAAGGAGCAAAGACAATTTTCAATACCTAATACATAATTTAACAATCAATGACAAAGGTCCCAGTTCCATGGTTATGAAGCTTATAATAATCTATCTGCAAACATTAAAAGCCTTACCGTTTAAAGAGTTTTAAGAATACTCTAAAAAGTATAAAAAAGTACATCTTTTAAACCAAGTATTTTACTCTGTGAGAGATTTCTTACAAAATTAAGCAGTATTGTTATTATATGTAATGTAAATGTTATATGTTTTATATTCAGAAAAAAATGTTCTGTAATTCAATTTTTAGGTTAAGATTGAATTGACAATGTCACCACTTATATCTTTGCTATGTACAAATGTTTTTGTGTGACAATAAAGTGAATTTGAATTTAAAATATACTAAGAGGGTGTACACCAACCTGGAATACCGGGATATGTGCGTGATTTTTTTCAACCGAAAAAACCTGAGAATTGTGCACACATTTTGTATTTAACACCAGGAATTTTTAATTTAACGTTAATTTTTATATTATTGAACTTACATGTTTTCAAGCAGTTAGAATGGTAGATTTTAGGACCTGTTTTAGGTAAAATCATATTTCATTTACACCAAGGAAACACTTGATCGATCGATTAGGAAATATAGCATATAATATTTCCTGCTATATTGTCGCTGCAAGCAGACTCTAGTCAGTTATTGTGTGTCTGTCAGTAGGTATATGGAGGTAAGTGTGATTATACGGGTTTAATTGACATCTTTATTTGGTTTAAAATTATTTCATATTGCTGATTCTTGAAATGAAAATGTTAATCATCTCTTGGTTGCATAGGTTTATTATTTTATCAGTTACAAAATCTTAAAAAAAATCACAGATAAGATGACCTGATGGAGTATTGTTGGTACAGTTATAACTATCAATCACACAACTTCTCACATTTTTTTTCAATACTCAATCATATTAGTAGTAGTTTTTTAAAAACCACTACCATCAGTAAAAAAAAACCGCTTTAGCTTTTTGATAACAATCTTGTTGATAGTTTAGGCTACCATTAAAAAAATATTGGGAATACGATACTTATTTTCACTGAACAGATTTCCCAATGCAGCCAGTTTTATCACCCTATAATAAAAAAAAAGTTATGTCTGTGTAAGTAGGAACCTATACAGTATGCTGTAGTACTTAACATGTGAAATTGATTTCAACTATATGGAGTTTAGAATAAACGACATAATGTATGGCTCAAACAATAATAAATCTGAAGTTTAACTTTTCAAATCAATGAAATTATGTTATTTCATAAGTGAAAAAAGTGAAGTGTTTTCCACTTTTTGGGTGTTTAACTTTTATTCAGTATCTTTGTAAGTTGGGTTAGTCATAAGAAAAAACCCTTTTAAATAATGTTATTTATAAATAGTATGTCAGGGAAAGAAGGGTTGTTCATTATTGCCTTGTATGATACAAAAATACTGGGTCTTTCTTTACTAGTGCAATCAGTACCAGGTACATTATCATCAGAATGAATATAGGGTTTGTAATTGTGAACCTTACTGTTCAACTGTTGGCTAGATTACCTGGTTGTAAGTTAGGTATCATGAAAATATTTGTCTAATTTCATTCTAAAAGTTTAAGGATTGAACTTTATTTCTTAGGATTTGTTTTAAATTAGTATTATCAAAAGCACTTCTAGGTTTTGACATCTTTAACAATTTCTTAAATTGTACTCACATATCTTATTTTTAAAACAGATTGAGATTAGTAATATATATTTATTTTATTTTAGAAGTAGCCTATTGTTAAAATTTTGTGACAGGATGATTGTTTTTCTTTTGTTGGGTTGTTTATAAATTTACTCAGTTGCCCGATTCTAGACATTTAACAGTTATCATTTTTAATAAGGAAGCTACTTAATAATTGATATAAATCAACAATGAAATGTTGTTAGTTGCATTAAAAATTTTTATTTAATTTGTTATTACTAAGAACTAAGTCACTAAAACTTAACAATTTACATTTTCTATTTACTGATACAGTGGGTTATAAGAAAAGAATTAGCCCCTTTGCGACTATGCCTCAAATTTACACATTTCAACTAAAGGTTTACCTGACTACAGAATGTTCCAAACTGTAATGTTTTAACGGTGTTGGGAACAAGCGCAAGTAAAGTAGATGTTGCATGAGAACTTGTTGTTGGAACTAATGATGTTTTAACTGACCAACATCTCGCAGTGCAAGGGCTAGCATCGGTTGTCATTGCCGTTAGATCCACAGTGACGACTACCAACGACACCTGGCACATTGGTTTTGTATATTAGTAAGTGTTATTATTTTGCTATACTAACTCACATTCAACAAATTGTGACATGTTTGTTCCTTAATTATTGCATATCAGATAAAATACACTATTTTTTAAGTGTGTTTTTAGACTATTACTTTTTTCTAGCATCAAAACAAGACAGATTCAAATTTGGAAATATGAGAGTCAGATAGTTGGTAATTCAAGTAGCATGTAAAAATTCCTTACTTAAAAGAAACCTAATTTTTCTTAAAGATTTCCAATACAATTCTTGAAAAAAATAAGCTGAATGCTAAGCTTAAGGTAAACTTAGTTTTATCTAAACATTTTTATTGACTCCCTGACATTGTTCACTAATCTATTGAGAAATGCAAACTCAAATCTTACTCTTTTGCTTTAAAACACGGTACCTACTAGTTCATATTTAGCTGTATACATCAGTCAAGTATTGCAGTATTTTTAACTCCATTTTCAGAACAACTTACTTTTAGCAGAATACATAAAACTGTTCCTTTTTAGGAAGTATCATAATAGTCAAGGAAAATAAAAATAACAGTAGGCCTAATTCTTTGAATCTTTATGTTTGAAAATATTTCGTGTTTAAAAAAAACACATGCATTAAGTGTTTTTAGTTATTTCTGACATTAAATGTTAAATTTGAATTTACCAATGACAAGTATCCCATACATATATACTTTGATAACTAGACATTTGTACTTGAAGATACAAGTAATTACTGACTACGATTGTTCATCATTCATTGTCACTGTCAACTCATTCAGCATTATGATGTGGAGCTGCTTTGCTGCTGTTTACTTTGTATATCCTCTTAAATAAAGTGTTTGTAGAAAGTTTAAGTGTTTATATTTTATTTTACATCTTTTCTTTAATATTAAAAGCCTTTGAATGTTTTAGCAAATTACTGTACAATGATCTGTTTGGTGAAGAAAAAACTCAAATTTCTCACTAAAAAATTATACTATTAGACTGTTTCAGCCTTTTGGAACAACATATTTTGTGCAGCAATGTCATGCAGATGTTTTACTTGAATGCTAACTACAATCGATTCTTGGTTTCAGGTGTTGCTGTTTCATATCTCAAATATGTAATTTACAGAACAGTTTGGCTGTTAACTGAGGCATTTAATGCCTGCTTATGATGATTCTGTATTTGGATAGTTTATCAACCAAAGTTACAAAATTGAATCTTTATGAAAGAGTGTGCTCTATCAAAAACCAATATGAATCTAGGCTATTATTACAAACTTAGAGAACATCATCATTATAATTTATAGAAACTATTCTTGTAAATTAAGATATTATTTTGATTTTAATTCAGTAAAAATAGTGTTTACTTTTTATTAGTTCTAGAGTTCTTATACTTTGTATGAATCTTTAATAAATTCCTTTGTAAGGTTACAGTAAAGATAGGTGTTATTGTTAAGCATATGTTTATTTCAATGCAGTACTCAGTGACTTAGTTTTTTTTTGTAAAGAGAAGAAGTTATAACAGAATATTTAAAGATTATCCACTTTCTGTGGTAGTTCCATAAGCTTCTTTCAAAAGAAAGTTCATTTGTAGATATTATAGTCTTGAAGTGGCAAGGTTAAGTATCAAGTCAAATGAGATTGACAAAAATAAGTCAATCATTACTAGAACAGAAACATAGAATAGTTATTGAACAATAAGATCATGGACTTTTTTACTTTAATTTTAAAATATGATCTTAAACATAAATTACAAAGTCAGCAAAAAATGTATACATATTTTATTTTTATAAGATTTTGTGTTTCGAGTAATAGTGGGTTGGCAGCATCTTACCGTATCAGTATTGAATATGATTTAAAATCACAAGTTAATACAATTCTGCCTACAAAAAACTCTGAAATAAATCATGACAGTAGTACTCTGTATATAGTCATTTGTTAGGCACCTTGCAAAGGTTGGTTGAAACAAATTATTGTCCTGTACGTATGTTGTTATTCACAAACAGTTTGCATAAAAGATTAAATGTTTTGATGAGTAAATTGTTATACTAACATTGAAGTTTTCTGTTCCAGCTATACATTTTGTTGGTTGCCAAAAAGAGTCATACTCAGTTTCTCCTTCCTAGATGGATCTATTCTGTGATTCTCAATTCACAGAAATACTTAAGAGTTTTTATTTTGTCTAACAGCTTGTAATCTCCACAGATGAAACGGGACTTCTTTAGTTTGTTGCGAGAGCATACAGAAATAGACAGACACTCTCGCTGGAGTGATGCCAAGAAACGTGTGGACTCAGACCCTCGGTACAAGGCAGTGGACTCCAGCAATACTAGGGAGGACTACTTCAGAGAGTACCAGAAAATATTGAAAGATGAACGCAAGAGAGAAAAAGAGAAGGATAGAGAACGTCGAGACAAAGAGAGGAAAGAGAGAGGTGACAAGGACAAGGATAAAGAGAAAGATAAAGCGGAAAATGAGAGTGAGGTAAGGAAGTTGCATTAATGTTAGGCATTATACCACAGGATGGATACTCTAAAGTTCATATCTGGTTTTAGTTTTAAATTCCTTTCTACTCTATTAGACAAGCAGAGTGGCAATCCTACCTTTTACAATAACACAGTTGGTATAGCTAGTTTGTAATAAGTAGGGGTCTGCGGGTCCCCGATTTTTTCGGGTCGGGTCGGGCCAGCGGAAGGCCCGAGAGACCGGGTCGGGTCAGAGATTTGTTCGGGCCAAGATCGGGTCGGGCCAAAAAAATTATTATTATTTTCAAAGTTATAATAAGTAATTTTCAAAGAAACACTCTTATATATATTATTACAGAGGAATTAAAATGTTAAAATTAGAATTAAATATTAAGTTTGCTCACGTTTAAGAACAAAGACACAACAGAGCAATTGCCTTACTGTCACTAGCCAGAGCCAGTCGTCTACTGACAAAACAAAAGCCGTGATTCAACAGTGCAAAGAAAACGAAGTCAAAAGAAAGACTATTTATCCAGAGGTCCCATTTTAATTATTTATTGTTTATTCCATACCTAGTTTAAAATATATTTTAGTATTTTATTTACATAATAAATTATAAACAAAAGAAATATCTGATATAGTGTACAGATCTGTATCTTGTTCTTTTATTTTCCTATTGTCCTTTTTGTCATTCAGTAACAAAACAAAACAACACTTCTGATCGGCTGGTTAGGCATTGTATGGTCACTATTTCATTTTTTTTTTTAAGTATCAAGTATCAGCAAGTCTACAAAGAGGTTAGGCCTAAATATTTTATAATTTTATTTTATGAAAGTTTTCATCAGTAAAATTATTTTTTTCTTAGGTTAGATAGAGTTTCAAAAAAGATATTTCTAAGATCCAATACAATATTTACAAGACACAAACTACCATGAATTAATTTCTTTATAAATTATCTGTAACAGTTTTATATTTTTGAATAAAGAAAATATATCTTTTTGTCTCTACTTCCTTGTTTCGTTACTTGCATTTTGTCAGCAATTGGAACAACCAGGTGGTGTAATAGGGGCGGGGGAGGGGGAGGGTCTATGACCTTGAGTGTCCCCGGGCCTGGCTCGGGTTGTGTAAGAGGGGAGGGGAGGGGAGGGGGAGGGTCTGTAACCTTGAGTGTCCCCGGGCCCGGCTGTGAGAGTGATTCATGGTTTTTTGTTTACATTCTACTACCCTTCCTTCCGAGAAAAAGACCCTACGGTTTCAAAAACATTGACTTACAGTATAAAAACATTGAGTTGTGTTGCTAATTAGGGCACTATAATGTCTCTGCTGTCTGCTTATGTTGCCAAATTAGCATTTAACTTTCTTTTCTCTTGATATAATATAATTTTCTATATATTAAGAGTTCCTTTTTGGGTACCTAATAATTGTGATATTGTTTGACTTGAGTTTATGGATTTTTAATTCTTTTCATTTATTAGCTAAAATCAGTTGTTTTAGGATCTCTTGCAATACCTATAACTGTGCCTATAACTGTGCCTATAACTGTGTATCTATAACTGTGTACCTATGACATGATATGCAATTTTTACAGTCTTTACTATAACTATACCATAAACAATGTATGTGTGCTATTTTTACTGTTTTAGAGTTTTATAGTAAATTAGTTTACACAATATCTTTTCTTCAATGAGTTCTCCACTTGTCATGTTGCTTAGTCTATTACTATTTTAGGCCCTATAAAAAATAATTCCTATGTAAAGCTGTAGGCCTACTAATGCCAATAATAGATAATTCTTTATTTATGATGATGTAACTAATAATGCTATTGTAAGTGTGAGGTTTTTGTACTTAGGAGGTTAGGAGGCAGGGAATGAATGATTCATCATGGTGGAAACATAGAATTTTTATTTTCTTCTTGCTTGCAGTCTTGAAGCCAGTCCACAGGCCCTAAACTTGTGATAAGGTTAATTGATTTGTTTATGATCCTTTTATATTAAGTTCCATTACAAACTTGTTGTAATATAGCTGTTGAGATATTTCAACAGTTATGAAAATGGGAAAGAATGGCTTGATAAAAAAAATTATTTTCTTCTTTCTTGCAGTTGAGGCAACTTCTAAGCTGTAAATAAGTTATGAACATGAAATAATATACATAAATACATTTTTTTCCCATATGTTATTTTCAAGTAATATTAAAAACACAGATAGGAGTTAAAAAAATATAAAAAATCCGGTAATTAATAATTTTTGGCCCGACCCGATTTTGGCCCGAAACCCGAGGACCAAAATTATCGGCCCGACCCGACCCGACCCGAAACAAAAAAGTCTGACCCGCAGACCCCTAGTAATAAGTTAAATGTTTAAACTAAGAAAGAGTTTTAAGATTATTAATGCAACTCGGGGTGTCCAGCCAACTGGAAAACGGAACTTTAAGTACATTTTTTATAATACCAGGAATTCCAGAATAATTGCCGATGACCTATGGCAGAGCATCTATTCATTCCATTGGTTCCATTGGTTACGTTCCATTGGTTCCCTGTCAACGTCTTATGTAGTCATAAAATCACAAACGACAATCACAGTGTTGCTGTTCTTACGGGCCATCGTCAAGGATGTTGCTGCAATTCTAACGTTGTCCGTTTTAAAAATAAATTAGGTCTAATAGAGAATACATTTTCATTGTAGATTCAAAACTGCAATTTGAAATAATTGAAGTTGGATTTAGATTTCAGATATATTTATTTTTGGAAGTAAATTAAAGATGTTTTTATACTCGTAGATTTTACCATTGCTAATGTTTCTGCAAGACCCTACTACACTACAGCCGGAGTCAAGCTTAGGTGAAGTCACTACTGATATGTTTTCACCTTGATATGTTTCTATTGTTCCTAACAATTGTTGACCCTCATTAGTGCCGCTCGGCTGCACTCAGTGGGGAACCCAATACCACAAATCAATCTTTTAAATTAATACAAATATTTGGTAATAATTGTTTTATTAATATTCACCTTGAAATTTCAATAAATTTGGTGTAAAATTTGACAAAAATCGGCCATTTTGACCGATTATTAATACAGTACCAAATACCAATAAAGTAGTACATTCATTGGTAATTAAATAATAAGTAAAAATTAACCGATTTTCGTCAAGTTTTACCCCCTGCTGTGCGCTATATCACAAAAGCTGATAACGACTTGGTGATTAGTAACCATGGCAACTTGTTGAATGCGTGATGAAGGGAAACCCAAAAAAATAGAAGAACAAAGAGAAAGAATGACAATGTTATCTTTATATCCTTTTTACAATTTCCGTTATTGTTATCTTTATGTAAGATTTTATGATTTTGTTTTATAGGTTTATAAAATAATTCTTTTTAACTATGGGAATATCAATTTATAATTTATCAACGTGCTTCTCTTCTGAAACAGCAATACCGGATGCATAATTAAGGTCAATGACCTAAAATATCACGATTGTGCAATATTGTATTTTGATGTTGAAATTAAAATCACGACAAAAGTTTGTATATATCCATGGTCCTTATCGTTTAATCATTTAATATGTACACAATCAATGCTAAATAATCGTGGTTAGTTCTAACTTTATTTTTTATTATTCAAAGTTTCTACCCAGTAAGACAATCCAAAGTCAAACCGGGCAATGAATACCCAAAAAACAACGTATCTTGTCCTGTGATTGGAATACCACTTGCCGGCCAGTCCTTTAGGTTTAGGGAAGTAGTGCAAGTCTATATAGCTTCAAGGTCTTACCCACCCCTTCCCCCTCCGGTCCTACTTGACTCACTACCCGCGTTCCTTTCGAGGTCATTGCCCAACCCCTCCCACCCTTCTATTGTGTTGCCTTTCTATTGTTTCTATTCTGACTTTTTTTCGGGAAACATTAAATCTATTGTTTACGTAACATCACAGTAGTAGGCTAGATTTTTCTACTTTGAAACAGTACTGTAAAAAAAACTATTACGCAGTGCCCCTAGTATCAGGAGCGAGACAAGCACGAGTTGACTTTTATTTGACCATGGTAGTTCTTTTCTGCTTTATGTCTGTTTGTTCCAGACGAATCTAATCATAAAGCAAAACAGCTGATAACGACTAAAATAGTTATCGGTATTGCATCATACAGCTTCTTTCCCGTTTGCTGTTAGGTCGTTGGAAACGTATTGCTGTAATTTTGTCCTGGGAAACTAATGGTGGTTATGGAGATTTAGTTTTCTGTCCAAAATGTCAAAATATATTGTCTATCCGAAAAAGTCGGATATATAACGGATAGTGTCGGATATAGAATTTGGGCTCGGTTCGGATACGGATATCCGAACCGAACCGAATCCGACCCGATTTTTCGGATATCTGCACACCTCTATCATCTATACCAAGAAATGTTAGTTTTTTTAGAAGGGTTTTGTGCAATATACTATCAAAGGCCTTGCTGAGGTCTACAAGAATCATATTAACATAATCACAATTTTCAAGGCTATTAATAATAACAGTTACAACTTCATTTAATGCCTTAGTTGTGGAACGTCCAGGTCGAAAACCAAATTGCATGGTGTCTACTCTCAGGGAAATTCGGGAAAACCGGGAAACCTCCGGGAATTTTCTCTTACCTTGAAATGTCCTGGAAAACTCCACGAATCCACCCAAACTCCCGGGAATCCGGAGCCCGATCATCGGAATCGTTGGCTAACCGAAACACTTCCGCTTTTATTGCCGCGATCATGGGAAACGATTATCGGTGTCGCCGAAACCGCAAGATAAGCCCACGGGTATCGCCATGATCGTGGGAAACGATTATCAGTGTCGCCGAGACCGCAAGATATGCTCACGGGTATTGCCTTGATCGCAGGAGACGATTACCGGTGTCGCCCAAACCGCAAAATATGCACACATATGTTGCTGCGAGTGGGAAACTATTATTGGTGTCGCTGAAATCATAAAATATGCGAACCTGTTTTGACGCGATCGGTTGCCGGTTTTGACGAGATTGCAAGATATGCTCACCGGTATTCCCACGATCGCGGGAGATGATAACTGGTGTCGCCTTACCTACCAGTTATACTGTTTTATTATGTTGTATAAAATATTATTCTTTGGAAAAGTTTTCATAAATTACTTCCAGTTTACTATTGAGCACATAAAAGTCTTATCAGATGTTTGTTTAAGATCTTCATAATTTATTACTAGGGTGATGATGCAATATAAAACCCCATTAGCAGTTCCAAATCCATTAACATTTTATCACCACAATAATTGTTGTATTCAAGTACTTCCAAGAACTGTTGAGTTTTATCACTTTTATTTCTTTTCGACTTTCTCCAATTCTATTTTTATCATAAAAATAATAGTTTTATGATGACTGTTAAATGTTATCTCTAACTCAGTCAGTATTTTCGTAGATATTCAATTTGCCGCTGGCTATTGCCTACTGCCATAAAACTGTTTATGGCTACATATTAAACTTGTAACTAATCTACAATCTTATTTTATAAGTTAAAATATTTTTTATAGATATTTTATCTTTCTATTAACAACCACAAGCATAGTTGTTGTTGTTTGCATAATTTTTGTTTTCGTTATTCAAGCCTACTCGGTCTCAAATTATGTCATTACATGTTCTGTATCTTGCTGCCAAGCATCGGCATATATTTATCTATAATCCCACTTGGCTGGTTATGTAGCTTGGGTTATGTAAACAAAATTCGCTCCCTATATATTTCTTATGGAAGTTAAATTTGGTTTTTCATTTCCGAGTTCATTTGGCTCTTCTACCCGACCGATTTTTGTGATTGAGGTCTAAAATTGAAGGTATGCACACACAGATTTGCCATCAAGCAACGGCATCTAGTGTTTTTTTTTACTAAAAACATAATTTGATTTATTTTTGAATTCTCACATTAATTTAAGATGTATTTCACAAGCTATAATTATATAATCCTATATTTTGGTCTAAGAACCTTCAGTGAAATACCGGCTTTCACATAAGATATTAGTTATTCAAATCGGACGAGTTTTAAGTAAACGCAAGGTGAAGAACCAACATAAATACCATTTTCATGAGGTTTTTCTGTACCGGTCACGAGAAAAGTCAAGGGTCTTCAGGAGGTATCGCTGCCACCACTACTCTAATAAAGGGAGAGTAGGCCCTAATGAGAATGGGAAGATAAAATAATAATAATAATTTTGATGCTGAATACTTGAGGTTTATTTGAACTATTAGATGCAAATGTGTGAGTATTAATTATTAATTATGAGCAAAAGCAATGATGTAGACAGTGCGATGTGTTAAGCGCAGGTAATACCTAGATGACAATGCCCGTGTGCCTCCCTCCCTATTCCAATACAGAATCAAGTAACTTCAACGCGTCTCTTTGTTCTTACACTTGCATTGAAATCACGTGATTTGCCGTTAGATAAGCCTTAAAGGCCATAAAGAACTAAGGAAACTGTTTCAATTGAACTTAAATACAAAAGCAAAATAACAACTAAATATTACACTTGATTTAGGGACGGTGACTTGCTACATTTCTATGATTATTAAAAATCCATAGCTCCATGATTTTTATATGTTTTGGACTCAAAATAATCAGCAAAGTATAGGCTTTAATTTGATTTATTGATCTTTTGAATCAGTTAAGCTCAAGATACTGTATTACTCAATCAAAAATCATAAATTTGATTATTTCTTGGATATTATATTTATTTTAACGCTGCGGATCAGCATAGGTCCTCTCCTACATGTTATATGCATAAAAAAACATAAGATTAAACATTAAAAACATACGTGTGTATGCTAAATTAAATTAATTAATCATTAGCAATGATAACAGCTTTATTATTAATTTAAAGTGGCTATTACAAACCGTAGTAGATTTAAATATTAATATTATCTAAAAAAGAATTATTTTGATATAAAACATATACCGTAATCTCCGCAATTTCATGCAGATTACAACTGTGTAAATAAATTGATAATCAAGCCACTATAAACAGATATATAGCGTATTTTGCGAGCGCAAACTTGGAAACACCGTAAGACGTAATGAGTAAGAGAGAGACAGCTCAGGTGTTAGGTGGTGGGAGAAGCACCCAGAGGCCAGACCGAAAACCCAGTACACAGCGTGCGATCCAGTTGTAGTAATACAGATCGATGTCTGAAACATAGTCACCTATGTAAACAATACTTAATAAATCATTTTCAGACATAAATACGTCAGATAAAACTTTGTAATCTTACACAATTATTCCTTCTGAAAATAAATGCATTTGCATTATGAGACACAACTTGACGATGGTATGATTGACTGAACACACAAATAAATGAAGAAGCTTCATCATACAACAAAACAAACAACAGAGAGCACGTGGATATGGAGCCGCACAACATAGTGTTTTACAGCGAGGCAGGCTCAGCTCGGAGACTTGTGTAAATGGCGTCCGAAGTGTAGGTGGTAGCTCCGGCATGTAGTGTAGTGGGGTCTTGGTTTGTGTTAAGACAAGACGATGAACCAAAACCAAAAGCCAAGATCAAATGCTCAATAATCAAAATGCAAAATGTTGGCATAGTATAAATATTTTTCTCCTTGAGGTACAGTTAATTATAGGTAATTTAGATCCTTTCTCAGTTTTGTTTGTACAAGAAGGTGCTAATAATATGATTATTATATTTAACAATAAGTTTTAATTTTGGATTCAAGAAAACCTTGAAGCATTCTTTTTTATTGCTTACTGGACGAACCTTCTACCACAATTCAATGAATACAACGTAAAAGTAAAACTATAATGATTAAGTGTGATTTTTACAGCAAGAAAATGCAGAATCAGAAGGTGAGCAGGAAAAAGAGAAGGCTGCTGAGAAGGCAGCTCGGGTGGAGGCTTCACTGAGGGAGAGAGAGAAGGAGGTACAACGGACACTGGCTGTGCATCTCCGAGACAGGGACAATGAGAGAGAGCAGCACAAGCATGATGAAGCTGTGCAGCACTTCAATGCACTACTGGCTGATCTGGTAATAAGTTGATTAGTCAAACATCTTCATTTTAGAATGTAATTTAATGTTATGATAACTAGAGTTGAATTCAATATTTTAAATAGATAAAAGGATGAAACAAGGAACTAAGTTTTTATGATAAATGTGACCTCATCACATTTTATTTATTTCAAAAGGCAATGTTTTCTGAAAATTGATGTGGTCATATACAATGAATTCAATTAAATGGTAAAATAATAAATAACTATTCCAACAATAAATAAGTTGTTTTAAATGAACTTACTATATAGCATTATCATAAAAGTTATTATTTGAAAGATATAATATATTGGTAAATATTTATTGACAGAATAAGAGAATATTTATGACAGGAGAAATAGATTTATTTGTATAACATTTAAATGCCAGTACTTCTTTATTCCTTCAACAATGACTAAAGTGTTTACACCAGAGGTTAATGTTTATGTTAGTGAACTCAGCCTATCAAATTATTTCACGACAAATCCTCAAGTTAAACTTATATGTGTGTATAATAAATGTCTGATATTGTAACCAATAGAAAGCAGTATTCAATTTAGCACCTATCATAAACAATAGATTTGTTGTACAGTAGAACCTTGACTATCCGGGGTAATGAAGGGGAGGGAGACCACAGGTGACTGAATGATAACTGAACACCACGAAAATCCAACATGACATAAACATGTATTACAAACCCACAAAAATGCACTGTATAAATGGACGTTAATGTGATAATTAATGAGCATTGTCATCATCAAAATACAATTACAGGGTGTACACTGAATGGGAAAACTAGGAATTATGCTTGATTTTGTAAACCGGGAATTATGCGTGAGTTTTGTATTCCCACCGGGAATTTTCAATTCACCGCAATCGTGCATGTAGACGATCATGTTTCAATGACCATGGGAGACGATGATTCAGGATTTTGTCACTACCATGGCAGTCAGTGGTGATGTTTCCGTAACTGAGGAAGATCTTCAGGATTTTGAAGTGATGACAGAAGATGATGATGTCTCTAGGACAGCGGTAGATGATCACAATATTACCTCAAGTTTTGGCTGAATTAAAAATTTCTGGATACACACCTCCAGTTATGATAAAGTTTTCTTTTGATATATCTTCATTTACCTTTAAGAATCCTTGGAGCCTAGACGTTCTAACTCATAAAACAATTTTAAAAATATAAAGACAAATTTTTAATCTCATAGTATACTAGGTATTTTAATTATAATCACTTTGGTGTTTGAAAAACTATTTTTGGATGATAATTAACTCTTCAGCAGCTGTTTGAAATTATCCAAGATGGCCGCTAGCCTCCAAGGACTATTAATATGGTATTGTAGTTGAGTGGTGTAAAACTGAAATTGGCTAGTTAGAATTGTTATTGCTGCATTAATTTTCTTTTATGCTACTTGTAAAACTATACTCAAAAATTAGGCCTACATACTTTTTGGAAGCACGTAAAGACAGGGGTTGGTAGTAATCCATAAAGAAAATATCTTCTGATTATACTATTTAATCAGAGTATTATAAACATTGCATACTTGTATCAGGCAATATTACAGTATTCACAAATTTTGTTCCTTTTACTGAGCAAGCTTTTTTCGATAACAAATAGTGTTAGTGTTAAAAAAGCATTTCGAGCGTTGGTGCAAAAACGCGTTGGAATGAAAAGGACAACCTGAACTACCTGGAATTGCTCATGCATTTTTTTCTGGCTGGCCTGCTGGACACCCTGGATTAGTATTACACAATCTTGATGTATTAAGTCATTAACCTTGGTTCAGTAATACAAACTGTATTGTTTAAAATCACAGCTTACTCAGCAAAAGAAGTACACATTAAACATAAACTATACCAACTATAGTTAAAATTAAATTAATAACTATAGTGCACAAGTTATTATTTAGGATGATATGAAGAGTAGTGTTTGTCTTAACACTACTCTGGTTGTACTCAAACAACAAAAACTGTCTAACTGTATAGCAATAAATCACGTAAAGAACACAATAGAAAGTCTAGTAAGCTACTGCTAGTCATAGGCTAGACTACATGCTGTTTCATTTCAGGACAGAAGAATGTTGATAAAAACATTAGATGCTGTAACTGTAAGTCATAGTAGGTACATAGAGATAATAACAAGAACAAGTGGTAAAATAAGGTAAAGATAACAATGACACTTATTCACTTATCAATCACTTATTCTTTCTATTTGTTCTTCTATTCTTTCTTAGGTTTCTCTTTATCCACACATTCAACACAGTGCCACTAATTAAGTTATCAAAATCATTCAAATTAGTAAAACATGAACAGATTGTTGTTATAACTCAGTTTCCATGAAAATCAATCGATAAAATAATATAATGAGCTTAACATGGGTTGTAGAATCTTACTTGTTTCCAAAGTTAATGACCTCATCTCATAATGCAAACCAGCTGTGTGGAATTGTGAAATAAATGCATTAGGCAGTTAGTCAAAATAAGCCGTAACGTAAATGTAAACATTATGAGTATCCACTATACCTGAGTGGTTACCATGAAATCCAACAAATGTTTAATTTGAAAAACCTCACCTCAGATCTTTGGAAGCCTGTGGGGCAGAGCCCAAGGTAATTATCGAAGTGGAAATAGTCTTTTTTTCTAGTGCATCCCAGTAGCAGTCTACTACTACAACCATGAGTGAGTGGCAGTCCGTGGTCATGGAGAAAACACGGTACATACACTCTCTCGTCATCATCATTGTCTCCCACAGTATAGAAATGGCATTATCGTCATCCGCGATCGCGGCAAAATCCTGCAGATCTCCCGCGGTTTTGTAGTGACATCACCTGCGGTCACAAAAACTTCATCATAGTCTTCTCTGATAGCAGTATAATCCTGGATATCTCCTGCGGTTGAGATATCACCATTCCATGATTACAGAAACGCTATCAACGTAGGCAAAAGCATACGTATTTATTTACCATGCAAACTTCACAGACGCATTCTGCAGTCAGGATCGTAAAAATTCAGCTTGATTTTGTGAGTTTGTGCTCGAGCTTGTTGGCCAGACTTGGTTCGGCTCGATACTCATAATTTGTTATAGTTTTTAAAACTAAGAGAGAAAAACACTATACAGTATTGAGAATCAACTTCACCATTCATGATCTTGCTGAATACTACAGGTAATTTAACTTACCTAATTTTAGTCCAATTGATGTTTTTAGGTACGGAATTCGGAGCTGGTATGGAGAGAGGCTAAAAGACAACTTCGGAAAGACCATCGCTGGGAACTAGCGGAACTCCTTGATAGAGAAGAGAAAGAGAAACTGTTTAATGAACACATAGAACAGTTGTCTAAAAAGAAGAAGGAGAAATTTAGGTTTGTTATCATTTTAAGCATGTGGATAGTAAGTAAAGTATTTATCTATAATATAATGCAAGTAAGAAAATTACTTCAAAACAAATTCTAGAGATTATTTCAAATCATTCGATTAACAGTTAAGTTGTTACACCCCTCCTACATTGCTATTGAAAAACAAAGATGGAAAAATTGCCCATAATAACAAGGAGAATGCAGAAATTATAACAGAAGCGTTTAATAAACTATTAAACTGTGACAAACCTAAAAATCTTCTAACAATAAATACGAACACTCCCATAAAAACAAATCCAGAAAATTTAAACCCACCTACAATACAAGAGCTGTGCAGAACAAATAATTACACTGATATTGATTATGGATTACTACAGAAAACGAAACAAACTTCTTTCAATAACATTTGTAGATTTTAAGAAAGCTTACGATTCCATTCATAGACCATCATTGTTAAAAATTCTCAGACATTTCGGACTCCACCCAATATTAATCAAACTTATAGAACTTACCTTGACAAATACCTTCAATAAAATTAAATTTAGAGGAGAAATATCAGAACCTTTCCTGGTCAAAACTGGTTTGAGACAGGGAGATGGCCTTTCACCACTTCTTTTTAACTGTGCACTTGAATACATTATGAGGGAATGGCTTAAAACAAACCCAAAAAATATTACTGTTGGAACAAAAAAAGATGACATAAAGTTAAACTGTTTAGGATTTGCTGATGATCTGGCTCTTCTAGCTAATAACATCCAAGAAACCAAGCAACAAATAAAATCACTTCAGGAAATAGCCCAGAGCAAAGGTCTAAAAATTTCTTTTGAGAAAACTGAAATAATGTTAACAAAACCACCATTGGCTAACAAAATCAAAATTGGAGAACATTGCATCAAAATTGTAGAAAATTTCAAATAGTTAAATGAAGTTATAACATACAATCTTAAGAAAAATCCATCATGGCAAAATAGAACTAGGGTTGCTTTCAGAGAGGTGAAAGCCAGTTGAGCGGAACAAACGTGATTTGATATTTGTATAAGTAACTAAATGTAAAAAAGTCAATAGATTTATTAACTAATGCTGGTTTTATTGATTAAAATTATAATAATTCAAATTTACCTCTTCCAGAAGTGCATTATGGTAGTTTTGACCAGGAAAATATTACAGTAGTTGGAATATGATATTAACATCCAAAAAGGGCATTAAAGTATAAAAAAGAGAAAGGAAATTTAACATTCAAATTCAACTGTAGCCTACAACAAAAACATTGGACTTCATTTTTCATCCTTACAATTGGTTAAAGTGTGTAAAAAAACAGTAACTATTAAAAAACGAGTATTGTATAACAACAGGAGAGGAAATTTGACATTTAAATTCAACTGTGCAACATAAACATTGGTCTTCATTTCAACCCTTGCAATCAGTTAAACTCAGCTTTCTTTGCTGGAAATAATTTATGATTGTTAATACCATGTATTCTTGATGGAGGATATGATTGTAATGTAACTGGAATGTAGGTCTTTCTGTCATTATTAGGACGATTTAGCGACGGCATTTTAATACTGGCCATAATAATACCATTTGCCATTGGATACAGAAGATTTTGATGAAAAAGCTGGCTACAAATTTAACATGGGGATGGAATGTCTAGCTGTATTGATAGTCAAAGATCAAACATAGGCTTACGAAAAATGTAGGGCTATTTTAATGCAAGACTCAAATGTAAAACACCTTTAAAAGACTAAAATGAACTGAATTATCAGTCATGTATTTCAATGTGTAAAAACTGCAAAAATACTTATTGAACAACAAAATAAGATGGCTGAAATGTAGGCCTAAACATAAGTAATAAGTAAACATCGCATTCAGCTGATTTAAGTGAAAACAGAATAATAATCCTAAATAGGGAAGACATGCCTTAAATATACAATGTAGATAATATAACTAGAAATTAGTAGCATACTTCTGGACAGGCCTAGACAATTATCCATACCGTGGTTAAAAGTGTACTTCTATAAGCCCAGGTTTACTTATTACGGATGTAACTGGACGTATGTATAGTCCGTGGCTTGGCAATCAAATAACAGTATTTATATAGGATAGGCTACTGTTATCAATATTTGAAATTACTAAATTGTTACCAAATTACTGTTTCACAAAATGCAGATTCCATTTTCAGCCAAGCCATTAAAATAAGGATTTGCCGAACAATTATTAATATTACAGAATAGTATTTAATTACAACTTTTCACATTTCATAAATTATATGTTAGTTTTGCTATGGTCAAAAGGTCCAAATCCAAATGTTCTTTACATTTGGTTTTTATGTAGTAATTTGCTAGAATCATTGATTTTATATAAAGTCAATGCTAGAATACTGTAGATGGTTTGTTAAGACCATATGCAAGCATTTTTGAAATCGTTTCCCCGTTTAACCAACCATTCCAAAAGATAAAAATTATATGGTGCAACACAAATAAACAACCCAATCACCTACTTATAACCTACACTTTACCTTCCTAATCTAACCTTACTTCAAAACACTTAATGTAGTCACGAAAAAAATACTCATAAACCCCGACCTACCTTCCCCACATGCCTAAATTAGATCAGTGTTCAATCTGCGTTTTATTTCAGTTTACTGCACCGTCGATGTAATTCACCATAATATAACCTGTGAGGTATTCGGTATTATCGGATTAAATATCGATTTCGATGCGGTTCGATATATCGCTTATTAAATCCTGATTTCTAACATTGGCTGTTTCTAATCAGCTGGCAACACAAATAGGTTCCCAAGAAAGTAGTCACCGGTCCGTATCCCTCCGCCCCTTGTTTATGCTCCGCGCATTGAGAAAGTAGTTCCGTATATTTTCTCGATTTGCAGTGAATTCCGCGCCTTAAAAAAATTTTTTAACGGTATTTTCTTGTTTATTAAGATCATAGGAATGGTTTAAAAACGTTAAAAGAAAAGTCTAGAAAGTTCAGAAATACCTTATGATTCTCTTGTTTACATTTTTCTTGTAAACAAAAAACCTGGCATGGCTACTTTAGTCCCATAAGCCTAATGTTAAAAATTGGAAATTTTAAGTTTGTTTTAAATTGCATTAGCATTATCTAATTGAAATTTGTTTGTTTAAAAACCACCTCACTATTAATCTAAGTAATTTTGTTAAGTTTGGCTGAAATGCGTTCAGCCGTTATTGAGTGATGTTTTTTCTATTTGTCGCATTGAAGTTGATCCCAAAGAGCGGAGCGAGCGAAATTAATCAGAATGCAACATATTACTAAAAACACATACCTACAACAAAAAATGCCTATCAATAGCAACAAAATTGAAACACTACAAAGCAGTCATACTTCCACAAATAGCATATGCAATTGAAACTATATTTAAAACAACCAACACTGTAGCAATAGATAAAATACTGAAAATAGAAAGAAGAATCATCAGAACGTGTATAAACAAAAAATATCAAAAAGATGGAGTTTGGAGACTGGCCTCAAATAAAACTGTATATAAGGAAATAGAGCCATTGACAAGTATAATTAAAAAGAAAAGAATTTCATTCATTGGACATCTTTTAAGGACACCGGAAAATAGAATAAGCAAGAAAATAATTAACAAGTTGTGGAATAGCAAGAGTGACTTTAGGTGGATTACAGAGATTAAGGAGGACATGAGAAGGTTGAAAATATCATTAGAAGATTTGGAAAAAAGTCGGAGTCGCTTGCAGTACTCAAAGACAAAAATATCATCCTGCCAATAGGAGCAAACAATCAGAGACAAGAAAGAGTGGTTTCGGAAGAAGAAAGAAAACAACGGTCGGAAAGAATGAAGAAGTATTGGGCGGACAAGAAGAAGAAACAGAATTTAAAAAGAACCTGACCATTATATTGACCTAAGTGGTCCAATGCTTGCCATGAAATAATAATAATAATAATACAAGTAACGTTTGCGCACAATAATTTCAAAAACGGCTCCTATGATTTCTTCTAAATTGTTAGGAATATCTTAGTTTCAGACTAAAAACAATTTCCATGCAAGCCACTGTTCTGGGAAAATTTGTTTTTCGTTATAATCTGTCAACATTCTCACCAATTGTGTATATAATTTATCCAGAGGTACTTCTGGAGCACATAAATCATAAACCTTCTGATGTAAGCTAGGGGTTAAAGAATGAAGCAATGTGTATACCTTATCTGTAGGATTCATTCCTTGTCCATGTAAGTGAATGAAGACTTCTAGACGTCTTATGAAATTCATATAAAGAGAGAAAATGTCCAAGTAGACCCGGTCAGGCCTAATCCGCTGTTGTCAAAACATAGCTATTGTTGTGAAACCGAGGGTGCGCGCTACCCCATCCCAGCGGTCATTGCTACTGCCTCCCTTTAATTCTTAATTCTTTAATTAGAAATAACTCGGCCCAGTACAAATTCTATAAATCGAACGGGTGATCGCCTATAATTAAGTGACAGGTCACATTTTATTCATAAAGTGAAGACAAATATCACAAAATTTGAATCACAATCCTACGTTGCTTCGTTGATTGGCTAGTTTAATTTTTAGAATTTGTACTGGGCCGAGTTATTTCTAAGAATTAAAGGTAGGCAGTAGGGTTGTGCGAATAGTGATTTTTAGGTTCGAGCCGAGCCGGAACTTAAGCAAAAAGTTCCGAGCTTCGAGCTTTTTCGAGCCGAACCTTAACCTTCTAAAGTTTGTGGTATATTCCTGTTTTTACGCAAAAATAAAGATAAAAAATACATGTAATTGTTTAAACTTACTCAAATAGGTGTTTAATAAGTAAGTATTTTACCAAGTCCCTATATATTCAATGAGTTTGCTTATCCTACTAGGCCTATTTATTAAAGGTTTAATGGGAAATACAAGATAACATTCTTAATAAAAATGCAAATTTATTTTATACAAGTAAATAATATATCAATACAAAACAATAGATTTATCTTGGAAATATAGCCTATTTGAAAATGAACCAAACATTGGA